AGGGGGTGTCTTCCAGCAGAAAGGACTGAAGAATACCCTGATATTAAAAGCCAAAAGGAAAGAAGCCTTGTCAACAACTCAATCTGAATAAATCGCAAAGCTGAAGGAGCCACAGGGTCCCACCAGCCCTATGGTTCCCCACCACCCCTACCCCAGTGCTGTACTCAGGCAGGATGCAAAGAGGTGGATGGGTGAGGGCAGGGGGCACCTTATTTACCCTGGGAGAGCATTCAGCCCCACATTCCCTACCTCATCTCCAATGAGGAACTCATCCTGGATGGTGAAAGCGGCTGGATCTGTGGGGCTGAGCCACCAGGCCGGCCGGAAGATGGGATACCCCCAGCTGAGCCATTCCGAGCTGTATTTGATGAGCAGCGGCACAACGAAGTCCCGGTGCCTCTGGATGCAGCGGCGGGTGAGGTTCAGGACCTGCAGCATGGGGGAGAAAAGAGAAACCTGTGACCAGCTTAACCCAATAAAGGGCAAAGCAAGAATCTCTTGCGTTCTGGTGTCCTCAGCAGAAGAAGGACACAGAGCTGTTGGAGCAAGTCCAGAGGAGGCCATGAGGATGCTGGAGCAGCTCCCGTATGGAGCCAGGCTGAGTACATTGGGGCTGTTCAGCCTGGAGAAGAGAAGCTGCGTGTAGACCTCAGAGCAGCTTCCAGTGTCCGAAGGGGGCTGCAAGGATGCTGAGGAGGGAGGGACTCTTCATCAGGGGCTGGAGCGATAGGACAAGGGGTGATGGGTTCAGACCGAAACAGGAGATTTAGGCTAAAGGAAGGGACAGGATGCCCAGAGAAGCTGTGGCTGCCCCATCCCTGGAGGTGTTCAAGTCCAGGTTGGACACAGGGGCTTGGAGCAAGCTGCTCTAGTGGAATGGGTCTCTGCCTGTGGCAGGGGTTGTAGCTGGAGGAGCTTTAAGGTCCCTTCAACCCAAACCACTCTGACTCTATGATCTTTGGCCCTTTTAGGACCAGATGTCTCCAGAGTTTCTACATTTAATCAGAACATATAAAAAGGGATTTCTTTCTTGCAGAGAAAACCATTGGGGAAGTGCTGGGTTTTCTTTCCACAATGGCATGCAAAGACAAAGCATCACGGGAGAGTGCTCCTGTGCTTTAGCTCCCTTCAGTTCCATAGTGCACAGCAGTGGAGAAGCAGAGTATTGTTGTCAGAAATACTCAGTGGAAGGGGATTCCAGATGCCCTCTGAAACACCGTGGAGGGGCTTGGGAAGGACAGGAGAGGGTGGGAAGGGACAGGGAAAGGGAGATGAAGCCTTTGGAGCTGGAGCATCCTCGCTCTGAAAATCTGGCTCAGCTTGTATAGAAATGCCACACAGAACTGAGCCAAGGGCTCAGCCAAGCCGCCCACAGAACCCCAGCCCCTCCAGAGGCTCCTCACATCTCGAGCAGCCCCTGGTGCTGCCTCAGCTCCCGGGCTGAGGTTACGCAGCCCCGTGGACCACACACCAGCGGGTTCAGCATCTCTGTGCTGTGATTGCCCAGGCCTTGTTTTCTAAGGAAAACTGCCTAAAAATAGGGCCCCATTGAAGGATTGCTCCCTGACCCCTTTACCAGGGCTCTCTGCAGCTCTGCCCTCTGGCTCTGACACTTCACGTGCAGCCTCCACGTGTTCGGGGTGCGTTTTGAACACAATGTTGTCACCTCCAAGAGGAGGGGAAAACCGAGCTGCTTGGCTCCCATTAAAGGGTCGTTTCTGGCCTTTTACGACGTTTTGGTTGAAGGATTCCTGGAGCATTGCGCTCTGGAGCACAAACACAGCCTTGGAGAGCGGCTGCTGGTGTTTCAGGAGCATCTGCTCCCCAGCCAGCGGCCTGGGCATGCACTTCCCTGGCTGCAGGCTCCCTCTTGGCTTCTGCTGGCTGGGTTTGAGCTCCAGGGAAGCTGCGAGGGACAGGGAGCTGCCCTCAGCCTGTGGGTAAGGAGCTCTGCAAAGGGCATCCCCAGAGACCTGCCTGCTTCCCTGGCTGCCTGGTCACATTTACTGCCTGTTTGCCTTGGTTTTCAAACTCTCCGTCGATTCCCTGGTAACATTCACCCCAATCCAGACAGAAAATGGGGTATGGAGAGCAAAGTGCTTCACGCCTCGGTGCAGCACACTTGAGCCACAGGGTGCAAGCTACCTCCTGCACCCCTCCCACCTCACCTCCTGCAGAGATCTCCGCAGGAAAGCGATGCTAACCTACGTACCTGCTGCATCGGGACGAAGAAGTTGTAGCCCAAGAGGCTGTAGTGCAGCACAGAGGGAATAATCCCCTTCAGCCAGGCATGGCTCCAGTCTGAGCGCAGGGGGCTCATCTGGATGAAGAGAGGTAGGTGACTGGATCTGGGGGGAACAAGCACAGAGCTGGTGGTTAGAGAGGGCCCACAGGAGATGAGGGTTTCTTCAGCCACTTGGCATCTCTACTGGAGGGAAATCACTGCCACCCCAGTGCTTTTTCCCTTCCAAGAGCATTTCTATGCCTTGGCCTTACCTGGAGGGGAGGAGAGGCTCATGTCAGCAAGCAGCCCAGTGAAGGAGACTGTTTCTGGTGGCCAAGAAGGGTCAAACATGGACCTTCACAATGAGCTTTAGCTTGAGAAATGGTCTGGAGCTGATCTAACCAAAGGGGGGTTTTGGTCTAAGACTTCTTGTTCCTGGAGTTTAGTTTCCTCCTTGTCCCCCCTCTAACTTAGAATCATGGAATCATAGAATAGTTTGGGTTGGAAAGGACCTTAAGATCATCCAGTCCCAACCCCTTGCCATGGGCAGGGACACCTCACACTAAACCAGGTCACCCAAGGCTCTGTCCAACCTGCCTTGAACACTGCCAGGGATGGAGCATTCACAACCTCCCTGGACAACCCATTCCAGTGCCTCACCGCCCTCACACTAAAGAACTTCCTCCTTATATCCAATCTAAACTTCCCCTGTTTCAGTTTTAACCCGTTCCCCCATGTCCTATCACTACAGTCCCAAATGAAGAGTCCCTCCCCAGCATCCCTATAGCCCCCCTTCAGATACACGCTGGCTCCCCAGAGGTCTCCAGGGACACTTTCATCTTAGGAGGTTAAGGCTGATGTGGTGGTTTATAGAACACTTCTGCTATGGAAGCTGCCCCAGGAAAGATACGATCCTGGATGGAGTAGATGATGCTCAGGAAAGGGGCCGTTCCCACCCCTGTGGTTTGGCCTGTGGCTGAGTAAGAGCCTCTCACCACCTCAGCGTGTGAAACGTTGCTTGTTCTTTGCAAAGGAATGATTCTGAAGTTGTCTTCTTATGCAATTTACCATCAATGCCTCATCCCCAACAGGAAATAAGCCACCTTGGAAACAGCCCGATAGCCTTTTGCATCTGCCAGGCATAACCATAGCGGGTAAAAAGACAAGTAATGCTTCTCAGTGCCTCTAACCAAAGGGTCTCGAGGGGTATTACAAATGCTTATTAATTAACCCTGTGTCCTGGGTTCAGCAGTAGCAGTCATTTTTCTCCTTCTTGGTAGCTGGTGCAGTGCTGTGTTTTGACTTTCAGCCTGGGAACAGAGCTGATAACAATGATGTTTTGGTTTGGCCAAGGACTTTGTGAGCGTCATGCTCTGCCAGGGAGGAGGGGAAGCAGGGAGGAAGCAGACAGGACACCTGACCCAGACTGACCCAAGAGGTATTCCATACCACAGCGCTGCATGCCCAGGAGGTAATGAGAGTTACCCGGAAGGGCTGGGAGACTGGGGGATTGGAGGAGGTATCGGTCAGTGCTTGGTCAGGCTGGGGGTACGAGTTATCGGTCGGCTGGTGGTGAGGTGTTGTATTCTCTGCCCTTGTTATTCCCTTTATCATTGTTATTATTGGTGGTAGCAGTAGTGATTTGTGTTATACCTTAGTTACTAAACTGTTCTTAACCTGTGGGAGTTGCTTTCTTTTTGGTTCTCCTCTCCGTCCCTCCGGGAGCAGGGGGAGGGAAAAGAAGGGGGGGAGTGAGTGAACGAGTTGCCTGGCTGGGTTTAAACCACGACATAAGCTCAGACCTCAGAGCATGCAGCCAAGCCTCCTTTGGTCAGCACAGCTCCTCTGAAGAGCTGATTCCTGCTGCTCTCCTGCTGCTGTGCTTTCATCTGGGGAAAAAAAAGCAGCATCTGGCACATCTGCCTAGAGAGGCTGGTTGGTGACTTCGGGTTCCAGCCATCACAAGTGCCTCGGTAACTGGGGAGACAAGGAACTCCTTTTACCCTCTCTTACAGCAACACACACAGGAAACCTTGGGATTTCCTAGTTCAGGTCACACATTTTCGTTTGGGTTTTCACTTTTCCCAAGTGGAACCAGGACTGTATTATCACACACTGCCCATCTCGTAACTTTGAATTACGTTTCCACTCTGTGCGTGCCCTTCACGAGGGCACAGAGATTTACCAGCCACTACCTACAAAATGCATCCATCAAATAAACTACTTCCCACCCTTCTACCTTAGCTCCCTAGCAGCAAGATGTCTCCCCAGCCATTGGCCTAAGAGAATGATGTGATGTTAACCACCACCTTCAAAAACAGTGCATGCTTTGGCAACAGTAAAAGAGGACAACTCTAAAAGCAAGCACGGAAGTTTACAGCCGCCAGCACTGCGGGAGATGGGAGGTTGGCTTTTCACTTCTGCTCTGCCCGTCTGCTTGTCTGCGCTCGTGTCACAGCCTGGTGCTAACAGGAATGGCACTCCGATCCTCTCCTGGCATGGAAACACAACTCCTGCTCCTCTGGTGTTCCTCCTCCCCTTTTCTGCCCTCACTTCTCCACTGCCTACTGCTCTTCATCCTTAAAAACTTGATACCTTGAGGGGACAGGCCAGAATGTGTTGTTTTACCTCCTGGAATGTGCTGTCTGGTGTATGTGAGGGTTCCAGTCCAAATGCTGCGCTGTATTTCTGTGCACTTACTGTGGCCCAAAGAGGGGAGAATGAAGCATGGATACCAAAACGGGCATGGGGAAGGACGCTGGCTAACACAGACGCTATGCTCTGTGCTTTTCACTTCAGCAGGTACAGCCAAGCTGTGGTGATCAACAGGACATGTGCATCTGTTCAGTGGTCGAAACAATCCCCCTGACTTGCCCCAGCGCTACCTAAAACGCCTCTTGAATTTGACTTTGTTTCCTGTTCAGTCGTCAAAGTTCAGAGTTGCCAACTTGTAACTGCCTCTCTGCTTCTTGAAGCCAGAGAGCAGGAATCCCAGCTCACTCTGAGGAAAAGGAAGTGGGGGTAGAAAGAAAAAAGGTTCAGGAAGAAGGTGGCCTTTGGGTGGGCTTTTACTCCCTAGATCCCTCGGGCAGCACCTGTCTCATCTCCTTTCTAGGAGATGTGTGGTGTTAATGAGGAAGAAGAGTTTCAAAGCCCAGAGGACGGTTGCCTACACCAGCTCCCGCCTCGGCAGCCGCTCCCGTGGCACGGGACACCTGCTGGTGTTTTCCACCAGTGCGGAGCTGGAATAACTCCCTTTCAGTTTGACGGTCTCTGTCATGAGAAGCTATTTATTGGTTTAGAAGGCTGCGCTGAGCAAAGCGCTGAAGAGAGGAGCAGAGAAAATTCACGTTGCTGGCAGAGTTGGTTTTCGTGGCGCGAGAGCGCTGGAGGCGGTGGCCGCTCTGCGCGTCCTGCCCTGGTTTGTGCCGTTGGCAGCAGCAGGGTCTGCCCTACCCGGTTTCCCGGGGCAGAGGGATGGAGCTCACGGGGCTTGAGCAGTGTGACGCTGGAGCCTCCGTAACGAACGGCGTTGAGGCGACGTCAGGGCTGGGGGCACGGGAAGCGGCTGAAGGGACGGCAGCGCTCAGGGGCCGTCGGGACCGGCGACCGCCCCGACCTCCTCGTCCACCTGAAGCGCCTGACGAGAGCCAAAGAGAAGCTGGCGGCCGGCCTGCAGGTGCCCAGCCGCCCGCACCAGCCCTCTCAGCGCCTGCTCGGCACGGCGCTGCACGGGGACCCGCTGCTGCCGCCCCCGAGGCTCGGCGAGGCTCCCAGGCCCGGTGAGCTGGGGTGGGCCCCAGCGTGGTGGTGAGAAGCGCTGGGGACCGTGGGGTTTGTAAATCGGCAACCTGGAGGTGAGGGGAACCCGAAGAACGTTCCTCCTCCGTGCACGGCAGTAGCGATGCTGCCTCAGCTGTCATTCAATGGGCGTGAAGCGGTGGCCCATGTGCAGTGCCAAGCAGAGCATCCCGTCAGCTCTGTGCAAAGGAGAAGAGACGCGGCACCGAGATTTCTGTCAGGTGTCCCCCTGGGCTAATGGGTTATTATAACCCAAAACCCAACGGGAACCTCTAACCCATAGCCCTACAGTAACCCTTACCCTAAACCTAACCCATAACACTAACCCTAATCTTGACGCTAACATTAATCCCTAAACCTAACCCTAATATCCTCTAATGCTAAACGTAACCCTAAACCATAACCCTCACGCTAACACCTTACCCAAACCTTACCCCTAAACGTAACTCTGATGGCCTCAAACGCTATCCCTAATGGCTCATAACCCTAATCTTATCCCTAACCTTAAAGTGTCAGGGTTATTATCATAAATGTTAGTAGTATTAGTAGCAAAGCTGGAGTTTGGTAAAGCAGTGCTTTGTGATTCCCCTTTTATTGCAATGTACTGTCTGCTGTAGTTCACGGCACTTTCTGAAATCCTCATGCTTGGTTCAGTCAGGTGCCACCCGTTTCGATTTCTAGCACATTTCTAACTTCTGATCACTTGGTACTGGAGGCTTCAGGAGACTGAATGGTCACAGGCGAGCGTGTGTTGGCACAGCAGTGTTATGTTACTGTATGTTCAGGTGTAAGAATAAAGTCTGTTTGTGGATGAAGAACATTGGAGCAAAGGTGGTCTTCCCAAAGAACATTGTGGAGCCTTGGCTCCTCATCCTGCCTTGCAGCGCCAGTGAAAACTGCTTTCCTTAGCCCTTGTTTCCCTTTGTTTTGCAGGACTGGTGACTGGAGGACAGGTTCCTCAACCTGGTGGTCCAGAGAGCTTCTTTGGTTACTCGGACAAAGCGGCCTTGTGCCAGAACCCCGGTGCTTTCGTGCCAGAGCCTTTCCAGCAGACTCCGATCCCTTCCAGAACATGGCAGGGCTCTTTTGGGCTGCTGCCAGGGCACTGGGCTTCCCCAGCTATTCCAGGCCCAGGGGCTCCCTTTCCGGTCCTGCACAAGTGTTCCACAGAGGTCACGTACACTCTGCAGACTGTGTTCTGGCTTCTGCCGCTTCAGCAAGGGGCTCCAGCTGGGGCCGCTTCCCTCCCGCAAGACAGCAGCTGCGCGTCTCCAGGGCAGTGCTCGCAAGCCCCCGATCCAACGGGTATGGCCAAAGTTCTGCACTTGCTGCTCAAGCAGTTATTGACAAGTGATGCTGGAAATGTTTTTCTCCAGTGTCTGTCCCCATGTGTGTATCTCAGGTGGAAATTAGACAGCAAGCGTAAAGTCTAGAAAAGGAAGAGAGACCACGAAAGGCCAGAGATGTTCTGGTTTGTGTTCTTGTCCTTGGTCCAGCTTTTGAGGGTCCCCTGGTGACTTTCCAGAGATCCTCTCCTTGGAGGCTCCAGGGCGAGGAGGAAACCAATTGGCCACAGCCAGTCAGCGTTAGGCTAACTTGCATGGGGTTTTTTTTCACTTCCCCCATGTTGTGTCCTGCAGAGGGGGTGAAGTTTCCCATCCGTAGCTTGTACAGGCAGAAGTGTGTCTCTTTCTTGGCAAACCCCAAATCTCCATTGAGGCAGATCCATCTTATTTGATGGGAGGGGCTGCATCTTTTGTTTGTTCAGTAAATGAGGATTTCATAAGCTTCCATTCATGCCCCTCTCTTTAGCGTTCAAATGAGACCCTGTTCTCTGTCTTTTACTTGATAACAGCTGGTGACAGAATGTGCTTTAGCTGCTCATTTCTTCTGGCTCTGGTGAGATTAACTATAGCAGAGATAGAAGAGCTTAGAAATGTCTTCTCTGCAATTCACAGGGTAGGACAGAAGTGTGTGAATGCAGCAGGTGTGTGGAATCTTGATTCAATTGGTAGACGTATTCAAAAGAAATTGACACCTTTGCCTTTGCTAACACTGCCCATCAGTAAAGATTATCTGTCCTGCAAAGAAAGCCTTTACTCTGAAGATATCTTTGCAAGTCACCAAAAAATAATACCTGCAGAATACAGCTTCAGCTACAAGGCTGCTTTTTGGAATAAGATCAGTGTTTAATTGTGAGTGTGAACATGCAGGCCCTTCCTGTGTGAATCCACTTTCTGTGGTATGTTGCGATGAGGCAGTCAGGCGGCCAAATCAAAAAGGTGATCTTAAGCTCTAGAAGACCGTGACCATGAAGTTTCTCTGAGTGTGTATATATATTTGTAATCTGCATGCACATGTGTCAGAACCAATACGTTTTAGGGTGAAGAAATCAGTCTTCCAACCACTGGGGAGGTCCTAACCCATTTCAGGCAGTTTACTCTGTGGTCAGTGCAGTGTTTAATCCAAGTAAGCAGTAGCACTGTGCACACTGAACACCAGTTCTGGCAGTCTGATCTCTGTGTCTGAATTCTCCAGCAGCGCTGCAGTGTCCTTCACCCCCTGCCCAGGGAGAGCCTCTCGCTGTCAGCGCCAGCGCTGCAGCTGCGGCGTGCACCCACTGCGGCTTTGTGCAGGTGAGTGCAGCGCAGGAAGAGCAGGGGGAAGCAGAGGAGCCCCTGCACGTGGACTGCAGGGTTCTGGGCTTGTGGCAAGAGGGAGTGAATTTTGGGAATGGATCTGCTGGAGAAAGGGCAAGTCACGAGGTTTCCCAATGCCCATTTAAGAACAGCACTGAACGTGGCAGGGGCAGAGGCTGCCATGCAGGTGAGGTGTCAGGGCAGCAGCATCGTGGGTGTCATCGCTGGAGAGGTTTTTCCTGTCAAAGTGATATGTGTGGCTGCACCAGAATTTGCTTTAGTTCATGAGTCTCCGTTTATCTGAAGAATGTCCTTGCCTGCACAAAGGTGATTCTTTAATGTTACGGAAATCCTGGAACCAGCTCCACTTTTCCATCCCAGAGAGCTTGCGGCAGTTCTGAGTTTCACTGGGTGAATGAGAAAAACTAAGGTGACTTTTGGAACTGGGTTCACCTCAGAGATGTCCTATTAAGAAAACTCCAGTACTTCCTTTCTGGAATTCTGGGGACAATTGCTCCCGATTGGGTGGCCTGGCTTATCAAATATCAAAAGAACCTCAGTACAAATGCCAGGGCTTCCTTTTGCATTGCAGCAGCACGCATATGCTTTTGGTTGTTTTCCTTCCAGAGGGCAAGCAAAACAAGTTCTGATGTGTGTGTTGCAAAAGGGCTGACCTATGCAAGCCTGATCATCCAGTGTCTTGTCTTACAAATATCAACCTTTTGTCTTCATTGCATGTTTTCCTTTTCTCATCTGAGCTTACCCAAGCTGGGCAGGTTGTGGCCAGGATAACACGTTGCTGTAAGGCTAGAAGTAGCCAACAGCCAGGCCTGCCGCTGATAGGCTGGTGTTTCTTTCTCAGGCAGTGCGTCTTTGTCCTCCCACTTCCACTGTGAGCTGCTTTTCCCTCCAGGACATGAGGATCGGTCTGAGTGTCGGGAAGTCGCAATCACATAACTGCTCATCTCAGAAGGCTGAGATCAGTGTCTGGGATAGCAAATGGTGCCCAAGGAGCTGTCGGGGTGGTGGTGTGGCTAGACTGAAAGGTGATAGAAATACAGTGCCCACAGGGTCTGGTAAAACTCAGGTGCTTGATGAAAAGCGAGTCCATGGGGTCAGAAGAGATGTACTGGTTCCTGAAGCAGTAAGTGTCCTGGTAACTTGCTGGTTAACCACTTGCTCCTTAGTGGTTGCTTGGGTTATGCAGGCACAGGCAGGGAAGTGCCAGTCAAAAGCTGCTGGTGCATGTGAGCAGAGATTGCTGGAAGGTCCCCTCTGGGTGAGCAGCCCAGAGGCACCCAGGGAGCAGGACAACACGAGTATTGTGCAGAATGGCTCAAAAGGACTTGATGTTTCCAAGTGTTAGGGTAGCCTGGATCATTCCTCCAGGGTGGGGAGCAGGGTGGCAGGGGCTGTGCAGGTGGTACAGAATACGGTGCTTTGCCTGTGGATCTCACTGAGCTCTGGCCAGTAATCAGTTTACCTTGTGTGTGCTCAGGGGCAGGCACTTCCCCAGGTTCTGTTGGGGGATGCAGACGGCTCCAGCATTGCTCATCCTGCCCTGCTTGTGTATTGATAATCAGAAACCACCTGCACAGTCCTTAGAAACAGTAATACCATCAGCCCTGACTGATCAATCACTGTGTGGTTTTGGTATAAACGTTCCCTGTCTTCTGTTTCTCCCAGAGTCCACCAGCGCAGCCACCTTGTGCAGCTGAATGCCTGCCCTGTGGCGGGGCTTCTGGTGAAGAGAAGATGATGGAGGAATTAAGTTTTGAAGCCATACTTGAGGTTCTGGATAAGATGCTTTCACCACCCAACGCTGAAATAGTGCCAGTGGAACCTGTGGAGAGCGAGATGTCAACCCCTCAGTCTCTCAGAAGTCAGCCGCTCCTGGTTAGTAGTGGGAAGAGCGACACCCCTTCTGCCGCTGAGGAAAGTGAACTGGCACCTCTGACTCCTGCGGCAGCAGACACCTCATTTCTGATGGAAGCAGCTCAAGCATTAACTGCTGCAGAAGGCTGTGATGGAGAACTTCTTGCTCCCTATGACACTGCATGCGTAGAACGTACCGCTGCTGCTGAAATGGCACTGGAAGCTGTGGCCACACAGGAAGCCCCCAAAGAAGGGAGAGAACCACTGGATCAGTGCCCAGCTCCCCCCTGAAATGTTTGTTCTGGAAGGACTGTTCAGAGGAGAGCAGGTAAGGGCTAAAGGGAGGTAAACGTGCCCAGGAATGGAGAGGTTTAGCTCATCGCCCAGTAAACCATCTAGGCAGCGCTCAGCGCTCGTCAGGTGTCCATTGGGAGTGGGGAACGGTTCGCTTTGTCCCTGCAGCCATAACAAGAGAACATTGAGGGATCTTTGGTTTCATTTCTTTGTCTCTTTGTTTGGTGTTTTTTGAAAGGAGAATACTCCTGTCTGGTGGGACGCAGTGACAGAAGAGAGACAGCTGCTCTGAAACTTCCAGAAAGGGGAGATCAGACGAGTTGTTATTGTCTGCAGGGGGCCAGGGGAATCACCCAGGGGAGGATGATGAGGCTTGGTGAGGCAACCCAAGGCATGCCTGGAAATGTCAATGTACCCGTGACGGCTTCTGAGACGTACGAGAAGGCACCGCCTGACTACAGGAACCTCTTGCCAACTGTGATATTTATTTGGGGGAGTCAAGCTCTGGAACGGGCTCTTCAGAGGGGACGCGGAGGCTCCATCTTTGGACATCACCGAATCCCGACGGGATGCAGCCGGCTCCAAGCAGTGGCTTTTGAGCTCACACGGTCCCGCGCAGGTCCTGCCGGGACCACCTCCGGTTCCTGGAGGGGCCTCTCCGCTGCCGACGCTCTCCTCTCCTGGGGGGGACCGGAGCGTCGAGCGAGGTCTGCGGAGCCTGCTGCTCGCACCGGTCCCTCCTCCTCTGCCACCGGGCCTGGCTCCTGTGCCTGCCGAGCCTGCGCCTCGCCCCAGGTTGCCGCCGGCTTCTCCTCCTCCAGTCGCCAAGGACGGCGCGCTCGGGGGGCCGACCACGTCCCGCGTTGCGGTCAATGCCCCAGGCCGTGCTCCGGAACCGCCTCCCGTTCCGCAGCGATCTCCAGCCCCGCCGCGACCGTCGGCGGTTGCTGCGGTGCCACCTCCGGGACCTGCTCCTGCTCCTGGCTGAGCCCCGGCCGTGAGCACGGGCACGGGCTCGTCTGGAAGAGCCGACATTCCAGCGGCCGGAGGGGCACGGCCGCCTCCCGTCCGACCGGCGGCGCAAGGGTCTCCCCCTGCCCTCTTCATGGCCCTCATGGATGCGGCCGTCCCGCATAGGGAAGATGTGGTTAACGGAGCCCTGGCACCTCGGGCACACGGCTCTCCTGCGGGCCCACTCCTGGATGCAGGGCAAGCAGAAGCAGTGCCTGCAGGAGCCCAGGCAGACTCCGCTGTTGGGGGGTTCCTGGCCCCTCGGCTCCTCAGACGCCTTCATCGGCTCCGCCCGGGACCCCCGCCTGCTGTTGGCAGGGAAGAGCCGCCCCTGTCCAAGCGCTCCCCGTCCGCCACCTCCCTGCAACCCAAAGCCATGCAGAGCTCAGCCCTGCCCTGCGGGCACCACCGGCCCGAGGCAGGGAAGCCCCAGGAGGTGCCCGCGCTGCCGGGAGCGAGCCAGGGCCCATCCCGGGGCAGGCGAGCGGCACCGGGGGCATCTCCGAGCGCTCCCGCTGCCGGGACTGACCTCTCCGGCAGCAAAGCGGCTCCCGGCCTGGCCGCGAGGGCAGCGCAGGGGCCGGGCTCCTTCGTCCCCCCGCAGCCGCTGTCCCCATGCACAGGACAGCGCTGGGGCCCCCGGCGCTGCCGCGCGCGGCTCCCAAGGGGCGATGTCAGAAGCGTCACAGTGACCCCAGGGACATCACGGGGCTCTGGGCTCCAAAAGCAGAGGCAGGCTCCAGGGCAGAAGGCTCATTTGGCCGAGCGTCCTGAGCTGGGCTCCACTCCGCTGGGAGAGATGCGGACTTGGCAGAGGGAGAGGATTGGACCCGCGGCACAGAGCCAGGATGCCGATGGCGCTGAGCGGAGCTGCTGCTCCCTGTCAGTAAAGGCTGGGAGGCTGCACAGGGGCGCGAAACCTGGCACAGGTTTCCTCTGGTCTCCTTATGGCCAGGCTGATGGGGAAGGGGAAAGAGAAAGGGAAGGGGGAGAGGAGGAGAAAAGGGAGAGCCCCAGAACTGTAGAGCAGCTCCATTGGGAGGGGCTTGCAGCAATCCCCTTGTCCAACACCCGACCACGTCAGGGCTTGTCCAAAAGTGAAAGCAAATTCCGTTGCAGCTCTTTCTCCTGTATGTGACGCTCCTGATCAAACCTTTGCTGTTCCCAGGGCAGGACGGAGCCTGATCCCTCCGAAACAGGCAGGCAGGAACTGGGAGCAGGGAAGCAGCGTCCCTGAAATGCACACACTGTGCTGCGCCGTGCCGTGCGACTCTGTCAGGCCCTGCACGATGACTGACCCCAACTGGCTCCTCGGCCTCAGCATCCTGATCCTGGCTGTGGGGACCATCCTGTTCATCACCACCCGACGGCCAAAGGTAGGGGCTGCTCAGAGCCAGGGGTCACTCGGGGTGGGTGCTGATGAGGTCCTCCCCAGCAGGTCCCTGTGCTCTGCTCTGTTCCCACAGGGTGACAAACGGAGCCGGCGATGCTGGGCAGGGTGGCAGCAAGCGGCAGCACTGGAGAGCCCAAAGAGCCCCGTGGGTCCTCCCTGTGACCCAGGGGGTACCTGGGCCTGTCCCCAGGGCAGGAGAGGGCAGAGCAGGGCCCCTTGGGGCAGCCTGGCCCCAGTGCAGGCAGGCAGCCCCTTGAGGCCCTGGTGTCCCCAGCCCCATGGCTCAGGCCCTCCTCCCTCTTTCGCCCGTGGCAAACGTGGGATGTGCCCCAACTGTGTGCACTGCACCTGGGCTGCCCAGGAGCTGCAGCAAGTGACGCTGTCACCGCCGCTGGGGATGGGCTCAGTGCCTGCACAGGACCACGGCACCAGGCAGGGAGCAGGGGGGGACCTGCGGGCGCTGTGGAAGCGGGGCTGCCTCTCCTGCCACAGCCTCAGCTCCTCCAGCTTCTCCACGAGGCTCGGCAGCCCTGAGAGCCTGACGGATGCCTGCGTGAGCCTGGACCCAGAGACCCCGGTGCGGCTGGGCTCTGCCTCCTCCCTGGGGTCCTTGCGTGCTGGGGGAGCCTGGTCAGCACTGAAGATGCACGTGGCCAGGAAAAGGTTGGAAGTGCAGCTGGGGGCCCTGCCCATGCTGGTGCAACTCTCCCAGGAGCAGGCAGTGCAGCAGCAGGGCCGCCGTGTCGTGACAAAGCTCATCCAGCCCGGGCAGAGCCAGCCCTTGCCACGCTGCAGGATGCGCCCCTGGATGCAGGCCAAGGCAGACACCATCGCGGACACCATCAAAGAGAAAGAAGTCCGGAGGCTGTGGGGGGACCCCAACCCCACCGAGGAGTCCCTGAATCTGCTGGTGCCGTGCCCTCCACCACTGCTCATGCCTCCGGCCCTGAAGCTCCTTTGGAAACACAGCACAAGGGGAGCCCAGGCCCTGGCTCAGGCCAGAGCCATGGGGCAGCCCATGGAGGGCCGGCAGGAGCTGCCCAGCCAGCACAGCTCAAAGGCGCTCCTGCACGCTGCGGGTGGTGCCATCTGCTTCACCAGCCCAGTCCCACCCCCAGGGACCAGCATCAGTGAGAGCCTCGTTCACCCGCATGGGCAGCTACTGCAGCAGGAGCCGTTCCCGTGCCCTCTTGGCTCATCCTCAGCCCAGCCAGCCCTTCCCAAGCCAGACCACAAGGCAGAGGAACCGGCAAAAGGACCAGCATCATCTTCAGTCCCGCAGAAGAGAGATGTCGGCCTCCAGACCAATCTCACCATTCCCCGGAGCAGGCGGGAGGCCAGCCCTGCGGACATGAGCCAGCCTCGTGCTTCGGTGCCTGCTCTCATCTCCAGGCTGGAACTGAGCCAGGAGGTGCACAGCAAACTCGAGGCACACATTGCAAGGAAACGCCTGGAGATGGAGCAGCTCAGGCCCCTGGCAGCTGTGCCATGCAGCTCCATGGCCATGCAGCGGTCCCTGGCCAAACACCTTCGGAACAGGACTCATGGCGCCGGCCCCTGCCTCAAAGCACAGTGCCAGACAGCCCGGGTCGCACCCCAGGAGCACCAGGCACCCCTCACCTCCCGCCCGGTGCCCAGGGCCAGCCCTGAGGCCAGGTCAGTGCCCCTGCACCCGCACCCCATGCCCAGGAAGGAGCCAGGTGGGGCAGGGCTGCAGGCCAGCAGCAGGCCCCTCGTACCCATCGCAGCCACCCCAGCACCCAGCACTTCCCTGAGCCCTGGCAGAAGCCCACCGAGCTGGAGCAGGAGGAACATCCAGCCCAAGCCGTGTCTGGGCTTGAAGGAGAGCTCCAGGAGCTGGAGCAAGAAGGGAGATGGGAGAGAGAAGAGGGCTTAGATCCTGGACAAGGATCCCGCTGTGACCAACGTGACCAGGGCAACAGGAGGCCCTCAAGGTGGCTTCAGTGCGGATGATGAGGAGCAGGTGGACACTGCAGTGGGACAGCCCCAGCCAGGGCTGACTCTGGTGTGGCAGCAAACAGCATCGAGCCAGTTCCGCTGCTCCAGCTGAATCCACAGCAGAAAGCCCCCAGGAGGGACCTCAAAGTGGCCCTGGGAGGGACAAGGGTGAGAAGATGAAGGGCAGGGACCACGGTTACACAATCACAGTCCAAATAAATCCTCGTTCTAGCCTGAATGTGGGAGTTGCTTTCTGTGACCTCTGAGCGGGATGTGACTGTGGGCTGGAGAGGGGGGGGAGAGGAAGGGGCTCTCTCAGCTCTTCCTCGTAGGAGAGATGCTTCAGCCCCTTCATCTTCCTTTGCTTCCTGTGACCTGAGGCACATTCGTGTCCCCAGGCACATGTCTCGGCGGGGACAAGCACTGAAGAGACCCATCTCCAAAGGCTTCATTCGGAACCACCGCATGGAAACTGGCCCGTGTTAGGAACCACCCCTTGATCTTGTCTCAGCAGGCGGCTCAGCAAGGGCCAGCGACCAAGGCCTTGCAAAGAGTCCGAGGTCAGGATGTGCCTGGGGATAAGAGACTCGAGGCCCTGCTCCTTGTCTCCAGGACAAGGCTCCTTTCCTGTGATGCTGAACCCTCTGCTCACGTTTATTCCTCTGCTTTGGAGACAGAAGCGTGTCCTGAGCTCGTCTCCTTGCCCAGCCTGAAGGAAGTGCTGCTGG